GGGACCCGCCCGCCCCCGGCCCGGCCCGGCCCCGCCGCAGCCCCGGGCCCGGCGTTACCTCGTCCCGCCGCTCGGCCTCGGCCCCGGCACTTCCGCCCCAGCGGCGCCGCCCGCCGGGCCCGGGCTGAGGGAGGGGAACCGGCCCGGGCTGAGGGAGGGGAACCGGCCCGGCCCGGCTGAGGCCCCTCAGCCCTCCCGCTGGCCCGGCCGCCCTGCCGGCCCCCGGGTGTCCCCGCGCAGGGCCGCACACCCGGCCCCGGTGCTCGGCCTCTCGTGTGGGTGAGGGTGTGACACTGGTCGGAAATGCTCCGGGGCCGCAGAGCCGCCCACGGCTGGGGCCGCGGGTCTGCATCACTCAACCTCGGGTCACAGCCTCCTGCCCAGGCTGCGTTCACCTTGCACAGGTGTCCTGTGAGCAGAGGGGTAACTGCAGCCCCCTGGTCTGTCCCCAGCTGGCAAGAAGCTGGCATGGACCTGGGGCCAGATTTTGTGCAAGCTGCCATCGTCCCTCTGGCTTGGCAGTGATTTGTGCAAACTCCCTGGGGACCTGAACTTCAAACAAAAGCAGGAAGCATTATAAAGGATTAAAAATACCTATGCATTTGATGCTATTTTACAGCAGTAGTATTTTAACAATACAAACTTAATTTGTTCGCCAAAGGTAAACTGTGATTGAAATAGATCTGAGAAGGGGTTAATCTAGGCTGGCTCTGCTGGGTGCTCTGGTTTACAAGTGTCAGAACAGCACCCACAGACCCCTTCAGGGTCAGCAGGCCTGGCAGTGCCAGCACTCCTGGAAGCCAGGCAGGTACTTGCTGACAGTTTAAGCAAGCGAGTTCATGCATTTAAGGGCTGATGGGCTTAAATGAGCCCAGACATCTCAACCTTCCCCTACAAAACCCAAAACTGGGAACCACAGGGTGAGTTGCTGTGGGGAGCACCACCTGCCTGTATCCTGTGAACGTTTTTTCCTTGAAGCTAATCTGTTTGCTGCATATTGAGGGGATAAAAAAGAAAAGGGTAGCTGAGAGCTGAGTTTCTCATCTGCTAACCCTTGCTGAGTATGTGCTTTCAGGGAGCATCCCATGGGGTGGGATAATGAGCACTTGGAGTTTTATCCTGTTGTTTCCCACTTGGGAAGTAAAGCTGGCCCAAGCCCACTGTCCTCACTGGGGTGGGCTCTGAAGGGGGGCCCAGGCCAGCCTGCAGTGCTCAGAGAGCATGAACCCTGCTTCTGGCTGACCCAATCCCATTCAGTTGCTTTAACACTATTAACTTTGCCCTTCTGCCTCCCTTCCTGTGCTCAGACCATGCTCTTCAGCTTTTCCAAGCAACCACCACAGCTAAAAACGCACTCTTGCTGTCTGAGAGATTCAGGATCCTTCTTAATGGCTCCAAAGGCTTTAAAGAAATCATAAAATGAAAGGAGCTGAACACGTGAGATCTCACGTAAGGCCTTTACC